GCCCCAGCCCCCACTGAAGCCCCCCAGTGCCTTCCCCTTCGCCACTGCAGTACCCCGGGGCCCGCCACTGCTGCAGACCCTGCCCCCCGCCTCCATGGCTGCCATGGGCCCGCCCCCTGTCAACACCTTCAGCACAGTGAACCTGGAGGAGTTCTCCAGCCTGGGGCTGTCGCCGCGGCCCCCCGGCGAGGCGGAGACCCACCTGGCCGACGCGCTGCTGCAGCTGCAGTTCGAGGGCAACGCGGACGGGCCGGGGGGGCTGGACCTGGACGCGCTGGTGGACGACGTGACCTACACCAGCCTGGAGGCCATCAACACGGCCGAGTTTCGGCAGCTGCTGCAGGGGCAACCGGGGGGGGGCGCCACGGAGCCCGGCCCCCCCATGCTGCTCTCCTACCCCGAGTCCATCACGCGCCTGGTGAACAGCCAGCGGGGGGCACCGGACGGCGAGGACCCAGGCGCCAGCAGCTTTGTCAACGGGGCGCTGGGCGACGAGATGCTGCCCTCCATGGGCGACCTGGACCTGTCAGCGCTGCTCAGCCAGCTCGGGTCGTCCTAGGCTCCAGGCTGGGCCGGGGGGGGCAGAGGGACTCTGTTGCCCCCCCACCCGCACGTGGGGGCAACAGAGCGGGGTTGGGAGCTGCACTGCCCCTTCCCTGGACTCTGAAGTTGCCCCCACTTCCCATCACGTGCGGAGCTGGGGGCTGAACTGCCCCACCCCAGAGGGAGCTGAAGGATGGGGGCTTGAGGCCTCCATTGCCCCTGCTGGGGGGCTGGACTCTGGAATTGCCCCCCTCCACTCCAGATGGGGGTAAGAACAGGAGGGTGAGAGCTCAGTTGCCTTGAGTGGGGGGGCTAGACTCTGGAATTGCCCCCCCTTGGACTCTGGAATTGCCCCCCACCCCAGATGGGGTAAGAACAGGGTGATGAGAGCTCAATTGCCCCTGCTGGGGGCTGGAACTCTTGGACTCTCACACCCCCCACACTGGGGGTATGACCCCCCCCAGTTCCCACCTCTGGGTAATGAACTACCCCACCCTCCCAGGGGCTGGGGGGGCTGGAAAGGGGTAAATGGACTGCACTATTGTGTGCAGGGGGTGGAGAACCATAGTGGACTGGACTACTGGTTGCAGGTGGGGGGGTCAGAGTGGACTGAACTAGTTGCTGGGGGAGAGATCAAAGACTAAACCATTGTTTTCTTGGGGGGAGAGTGGATTGGCCCATTGCTCTCCCTGGGGAGGAGAGTGGGCTGGCCTATTCTCTGGATGGGGGGGAGCAGTGGTCTGCCCACTTGCTCCCCTGCAGGGCAGGAGGCCCTGCTAGTTTTGGAGCATGGACTGGCTCATCGGTGGGGGGAGGAAGTGGGCAGGTCCATTGGTCATTAGCTTGAAGAGGGGGTGAGTGGGTGGACTCATTCTTCTTGGAGAGGGGAGGAACCATGTGGCTCCGCCCTTAATGAGGCAGTGGACTCCCACTTCCTGTGGGGGGAGCAGATGGTGCTTCAATTGGCTGCCCTTCCCTAGAAGGCAGGGCATAGAGCAGCCAATCGGAGGCTTGCTTTGGTTATGGGGTGGGGGGGAACCTGCCTTAGAAGACAAGCATTAACCCCTTCCTGCCATTGTACCCCACACTGTACATGGCATGGCAACTGGTCTCCTTTGCCCTGGGGGGGGGGCAGTTTCTGGGGCCATAATACTCCCCCTCCCCTTTGCATTTTAATGCTTTGTGCCTTGTTGGGGGGAGCTAGCTTTAGCCCCCCCATTTTGACTTCCATTACTTGTATATGGCTGAGTTGGGGGGGAGGGGGGAGTTAACCCCAGGGGTGCCAAGCTGCCTGGCCTGTATTCTCACCTGACCCACCGTGCCAGGGCTGGGGGGGACAGATTTAAAGCTTATTTTTATGCCGCTAATAAACCCGAGTCAAACGCGGATCCTGGGCTGGCGTCTCCCTGCTGCGCCCAGACTGGGGAGGACCCCGGCGGGGAGGGGGCTGTCTCTGCTTAGTGGGACCAGTCTGGGGCAGGGGATTTCAAGGGCCTGTGGCCAAGATGGGACGGGGGTGAGGAGGTAGAGGCAGGACGCCTGGGTTCTCTCCCGGGCCTGGGAGGGGAGCGGATGCTGGGGTAGGGCAAGAGCAGGGGAGGCTGGGAGCCAGGACACTTGGGTCTGGAAGGAGGTCGGGGGGAGACTCAGATCCCTTCCTCCTCGGGCTGCCATGACCCGGCAGAGGCAGGGACCTTGCTCCCACAGGCTTGAAGACATGTAGGTGCCTAAATCTCTTGGGCCCTAGTCTGGGATGTCCCCTCTAGTACCCCAGATACGCAGGTCTGCAAAAGCCTTGGGTGGGTGGGGGGGAAGAGGAGGAGCCAGAGGGAGTCAAGAGCTGCTGATTGGCTGGAAAGGAGTCATTTTTATTGAGCTTTGTGACCTCTTGGAGCCTTAAAGGGCCACTGCACCAGCCTCACTGCAGGGCTCTGCATGAAAGGGGCAGCACCTTGGGAAAGAGCCCCTACTAGGGGGCAAAGAGCTGTGGCACTTTAAAAGCACTGGGTGGGGGGGAAGAGCCCCTCCAGTACAGGGGCCATGAGAGGGTTAAGCTGCCAGAGCTCCTGGACCACACTTCCCAGCAGGCCCTGAGCCAGGGAAGTAGTGCATGCTGGGACTTCTAGTCTCTCCACCCCAGCCCCCAGCCCAGCCTGTGCATGGGGGCATGCCTACCAGCCCCTCCTCACCTAAGGAAGCAGTGTAATACTGGGATACACGACCTCAGCCACACAGCTCCAATTCAGGGGAATCAGACCCCACAGGAGCAATGCATGCTGGGACACACTGCTCCAGTCCAGGCAGGGCCAGAAACCCCACCCCCCAAAGCAGTGCATGCTGTGACACGTAGCCTCACTCCCACTTCAGGTGAGGGGGGCAGACAATCTAAGGGAGGGGCAAGACCCTACACCCCACACAGAAGCAGTGCATGCTGGGATAAAGAACCACAGCTCCAGTCCAGGGAGGCAGATAGTCCAAGATACGCAGAAGGGGACAAGACCCCCACCCCCTCCACAGGAGCAGTGCATGCTGGGACACAGAGCCTCACCCCATTACTCCAGTCCAGGGACAGGGGGCTGAACAGTCAAAGGGGGGGGCCAGGCCCCCCCGCAATGCTTAAGTGACCTCGGCGTTGGTAACCTTGTTGAGGACACGGGAGCGCCGGGGCACACACTCCAGGTCGAAGCGGCTCTCATAGATGGTGGGGCAGAGGCGCCAGCGGTTGTCGCGGTAGATGCCCAGGTAGGTGTAGACATCAGGCTTGTAGGCCAGCGGGCACTTGACGCCAGCAGCCCGGATGGCAGCGTCGGCAGCCAGCACATGCTCCTCATCCGTGAAGTCATCCGTGTAGACACACACCACGTGGCGCCGCTCACCATCAGGGTGGCAGGGGCTCACCTTGGCCACGGTGAAGCGCCCGTCCAGCACAGCCCGGGCCACGCCGGCCCAGGCATGGTCCACCTTGAAGCCCGTGTCCAGGTGGATGAGCCACTTGCCCGTGAGCACACCGTGGTTGAGGGCCAGCTCCCGCACTGTGGTGTGGGTCACGGAGCGGCCACTCAGCTGCAGCCGCTCCCACGCCTCCTGCAAGCCCACCACATCACCCGCCTCAGGACTGTAGCCGGGACCATACACAGCAATCCAGCCCACGGGCCGTGGGCCATAGCGGGCCACGCGGGAGGGCGGATAGGTGGCCAGCCATGCCTCAAACTCGGCCCGAGGGGTGCGCCGGGCATCAAACACCACCCACGGGTCCATGTCGGCTGCCATTGACTCGGCCGCCAGCTGCTCAGCTGAGAAGGGGCCATCCCGGCCACCGTTGCCCTCATCCTGGTCTGACATAGCTGCTGGGTCCTGGAGCAGGCACCTGCCAATGCGGGGGAAGGTGGGGGGGAGGTATGGGAAAAAGTCAGGTGTCACAACTGCCTTATGGGAAGGCTGGGAGGCAAGTGGGCTAATTAGTTTGGAGTGACAAGCTTGTTAGGCTAAGGAGGAGCGGGCAAGGTAATTAGCTCTGAGAAAGGAGCTCTAGCTTTGCACTGGGCAGGCTAATTAGCTTAGGTAAGGGGTGGGCAGGCTAGTTAATTCTGAGGAAGAGGCTCCCTTGTTTGGCAGGGGCCAAACTAATTACCTTAAGCAGGGGGCAGGCAGGCCAATTAGTTTCAATTAGGGAGGGAAAGCTAATTCAGGTATGGTGCAGGTGGGCTAACTGGCAGATTGAAAGGCTCATCAGCTTCACATAGGACAGGCTAAACAGGTCAGGTAGGCTAATTACCTGGTCAAAGGGGTTTATTTTCAGTAATTGCCCTAGGTTTGGGGCTAATTCACTCCATCAAGGGGCTCTTCAACTTTGCAAAGGAGCAACTAATCAGCACAGGCGGGTGGGCTAAACTGTGACTGAAGGGCCTGACTGTTTTGGGAGCTACCCTTAGGGGAAGGCTGCTTAATGAGCCCAAGGATAGTACAAGCCAGCAGGCTAAACAGCTCCAATTGGAGGGGGATGGTTAATTAATTTAGGGTACAGGCAGCTAATCAGTTGCGATTGGGAAGGGGGCCGGTTAATTAACTTACAGCACAGGGCTAGCTCCTTAGTTGTACATTTAGCTTTGGTCGGGGGAATCCACAAGCTAATTAACCCAGCTATTAATTGGCTGGCAGCAGGGCTGTCCCTAGGGGGAGGCGAATAGAGGCAACTGCCCTGGGGGCCCCCCTGGAGCAGCAGCTCTGCGTCCAGCCGCTCGCTCCAGCCTCTTTGGGTCCGGGGCCTGTGGGAGCGGAGCAGGGGCAGGGCCCCGCACCCTGCTCGGGTCACCTCTGGCTGGCAGCTCTCTGCCCGGCAAGTAGCCCCAGAGAGCTGAGCTGGGCTGGGCTGGGCTGGGGGTCAGGGAGCGGGAAGGTGAGGGCTCTTTTACCCCCTGCCCTGTGGAGAAGCCCCCCCACCCCCAATGGCT